TCAAAGAGCTTATAATCTAGTGGCATATATGTCTAATATCTACATATACACATACATATATATGTATGTATATATACACAATTTATATAGTGCTTTTAAGGTTACATGTGTTATCTCGTTTCATCCTCACAACAACCCTGGAAGGTAGGTGCTATTGTCATCTCCCCATTTTACAGATGAGAAAACTGAGGTAAACAGGTTAAGTGACTTGCCCAGGGTCACACAGCTAGTAAGAGTCTGAGGCTGGATTTGAACTTGGGTCTTCCTGACTCCAGGCCCAGTATTCTATGTATTATGGCACCACCTAGCATTTGAGGTGGAGAATTTAAACACATAAACATTCCCCTATGGATAGTGAAGTTCTCTTGATGATCCTGTATAAACAGATGACAATGTGTTAATTGTATTAAGACCTAGAACATTTCAAAGCTTCCTAAGGGCCATAACCACTCTAATTCAGCCTAACTAACCCCTTAGGAAAAATTTTCTTATTGTCCAGATATGAAATTGGAAGACCAGCCCATAGAGCTGGTCCATTAGTAGGTCTATCTTATACACCACAGACAGACAATTAACTGGATCTAGAATTGAATAGGAGGAAGGGAGCAGGATGGGGAACTGTATATCACTTTCAGTGAACCCAAACTTCTCTGTTGAGCAATTTGGAACTATGCCCAAACGGCTATAAAACTGTGTGTACCCTTTGATCAAGCAATAACAGTACTAAGTCTATATCCCAGAGGGATAAAAAACAAAAAGGAAAAGTATGTACAAAAATATTTATAGCAAAGAATCAGAAATTTAGAGGATGCCCATCAATTGAGAAATGGCTGAACAAGTTGTGGTATAAGATTGTGGTGGAATGCATAAGAAATGACCAGCAGGATGCTCTCAGAAAAACCTGGAAAGACTTACATGAACTGATGAAAAGTGAAGTTAGCAGAACCAAGAGAACATTGTACACAGTAACAGCAGCATTGTAAGAATAATCAACTGTGAATGACTTAGCTATTCTTAGCAATACAGTGATCCACGACAATCCTGAAGGACTTATGATGAAAAATGCTATCCATCCCCACAGAAAAAATTGTTGGAGCCTGAATGCAGATCAAAACACACTTTTAAAAAATTTCTTGGGGTGTTTTCCTTTTTGGTCTATATTTTCTTTCACAACATGATTAATATGGAAATAAGTTTGGTATGATTGTACATGTATAACCTGTATCAAATTGCTTGCCTTCCCAATGAGGGGGGAGAAGAGGGAGGGAGAGAATTTGGAACTCAAATTTTTTTTCTAAAATGTTAAAAACTGTTTTTATATGTAATTGGGGAAAAAAATAAAATAATAAATACTTTTTTAACAATGATTCCAAGCTTCTCCCTGCACCAAAGACTCATCTTCTTAAAAACCAACAATCTACCAATAACGCTCTATCAAATTCAGTTCAGCAAGTATCAAAACCTACTTTGTTTAATATACTCTACTAGGCCCTGGGAATACTAAGAAAAAGCCGTTTAAACACTGTTGTGGGGAGACAAAATATACATATAATGTTAAATACATAATATGTACCAAGAATATGACTGTGAAGCTCTGAATATCACTGTCCCCAAAAGATTCTATATGCTGCAGATCCCTTGAAGGTCAATGAATAGGCACATGGGATATGAGCCCACTGGGATCAGACTCAAATGGAAAGTGGGACAACTAAACTGTGTTTAGGATCTGCCCATGCTCCATGGGCTACTAGCCTAACTCTCACACCCTCAGAGGAGTCAATCTCCAGTGTGTGATGATAACTACTCCCCCTTAGGTTTCTAAAGTTAACCCTGAGGGGTTGGGGGGGTGTCTTTTCTAGTACCAAAGCTCACGAACCCACATCAATCACCCTTACTTTCATGATTATCAGTTGATACCAATTAGACAGCCAGGCTTAATTAGCTTTTAGAAAGTGATGTTTTACTAAGGTAGTGTAGTAAGAACAGTTGGTACAAAATATCCTCCCCAATGTCTGTACCATACTTTTCCACCAGTATATGCTGAGTCCAGAGGAAAGTGAGCTCAAGCTTGGAGAGAGCACATATGATGTGCATAGCTCAGGTCCAGATGGCTGGATCTGGATCCAGGGATGCAATTCCAAGGGAGGATGCTAGGACACCAGGGGGATGATGGGAAACTCAAAATCCTGTGGCCCCTGAGAAACTCCTTTGGTCAAATCCATGCTCTCCTCACTCCCCCCAAGTGACTAACCAGATGTTTGGCCAGCTTGCCATTGCTTAGATCTCTCTTTTCTGGAATTGGATCCATATGTTTATAGATAATCCACAGGAGGAGACCAAGTTTCTTTAACCAATCCTAACATACTTTTCTCTATAACATCTAGTTATAATAATAATAATAATAATAAAAACAACCAACATTTATATAGCACTCACTATGTGCCAGGCACTGTGTTAAGTGCTTTACGGTTAGTTTTCAAGGGCCTTTTGCCCTTAGTCTAAAGGCTTGATTGGTGAAGGTATTGGGGTATAGCATCTTATCACTTTAAGTGAGATGGAGTAATTGATCCACACCCTCAATGACTCTGCCCCCCCCTTTACATTAAGATGTAGCAAATTATCCACAAAGAGCTATGGAGCGAGAAGCAGCATAATGACTTTGTCAAAGAAAATTAGGACTAGAAAAGCAGTAATCTGCCCCTGGAGCTTATGTGCTCCACTGTCCTCTATGTCATGAACTCTAAAACTGAGGTTCCTAGCCTGATATCCATGGACCCCTAAGGCATCTATGGATAGGTTTCAGTGGGTTCATGAACTTGGACAGGAAAAGAATTACATCTTCATTTTCACTAACTTCTAACTAAAGTTTAACATTTCCTCCAAATATGAATGTAGGCAACAAATCATTATTTTAAGAAGAGGTCCACAGGTTTCATTAGACTGCCAAAGGGGTCCAGGACACCAAAAAAGGCTAAGAACCTTGGGTCTAGGGGAAGGCCCCCAGAATTTTGGGTGGATTTCCCATGAAAACTAACAGGAGCACATGGACCTGATTCACACAGAGAGAAAAGGCATTCTACAATCTATACAACTGGAGAGAATACCTGTCTTACTAATGAAATGATCGATTGTTGGAAGGGACCTGTGCAATGCTGGCCATACGTCTCCCCCACAGTGTCTGCACTAAGTCAGACTTGGAGTAGAAAATACCACTCCAGCAGCAAATGTTTATACTTCCAAATTTAGGGTAAATTGAATTAAAGACTTAAGGGACAATTTGAAGCAAAGGAGAAAAAAGACCCATGGCCACACCAGCAATAAAGTGATTTGTACTTTTGGACTTTGCCGTCTTGCTGGTGCTATAAAAATGTGCCATAGGAACTCAGTGGCCAAGGACCTCGAAGCCAGCAGGATAAGATGAAGGAGCTAATGCTGGGAGCTCGCCCTCTGCCCCACTCTCAAACACAGGCTGTTCCTAAGGAAATAGGGGCTGTAGGATTTGGGGAACTCAATTTTCTCTCACCTACTACCTAGGTCCTTAGGTACGGCTGGCAAACAGCAGGGGCTGATGACAATCCAGGGTGGTCTGTGTAATCTCACGTAATAGCCTCAGAAGTTCTTCAGTCTTTAAAGAGAAATAATTAAGGAGTTTTATTTTATTTTCTTTACATCCCCAGCACCTCGCACAGTGCCTGACACATAGTAGGCACTCAAAAATGCTTGTTGAGTTGAAGAGGATAGTACTCCTTCAGGTGTAGGATATTAAAGGGGGAAAGGGAACAAGCATTTATTAAGTACCTATTATGTGCCAGGCTGGAGAAGGAAATGGCAAACCATTCTAGCATCTTTGCCAAGAAAACCTAGGAAGGATCAGACGTGACTGAACAACCACAAACGTGCCAGGCACTGTGCTAAAGGCTTTAAAATTTTACTTCATTTGATCCTCATGACAACAGTGAAGTGAAACCCTGGGTAAGTCACTTAAATTCTCCATACCATTGTTTTCTCATCTATAAAATGAGGGAGTTGGGCTAAATGGTCTCTAAATTCCCTTCCAACTCTGAAATTATATGATTCTTAGTAAAGCTGTGAGTGAAAGATATAGCCACTCATTAAAAAATAGGTGCTATTATTAATCACATTTTACAGTTGAGGACATTGAGGCAGACAGAGGTTAAGTGGCTTTCCCAGAGTCACATAGCTAGTGAGTGTCTGAGACTGGATTTGAACCCAGGTCTTCTTGACTTTAGGTCCAGTACTCTATCCACTGCACTAGTACATCAAGATATATAGTCACCATATTGTACCTGGAGCTGGTGATAGGGATTTTAATTCAGAGAATAAAACCTGCTCCCTGGCCAAGTTGTTGTGAGGCCAGAGGTTGGCAGGAGTGGTGAGTGCCAAAGAGGAATGAATAGCAGCAGTGTGGAAGGTCCTAGTGGAACATTGCATCATAACACCACTATAGAAGGAGAACTGCCAGACAGGCCGTGCTGAAAGGCTGGTGAGGAGTGCACTCGGAGACAGAAGAAATTTTGTTTCAGAAGATTCTGGTTTTGCTTTTGGGCAATGCTCGGCACTAGCTGCGAAACAGAAAGAATCAAGCTTGGTTACACCCGCTGGGATTAGCTAGTAAGGGGACCTGAAATCTTGCTCTGTCTATGACGGAGAATCTATAAAGACCTTTGGGAGATGACCACTTCTTGAAATAGGTAGTTTTATTTCCAAGTATTCTGTTTTATGTTCTCTTTGATCCTTCAATAAAACCTTTCTCTCATTTTGTGAGCTCTATGTGTGAGGAGAAAGTATCCTGGATGGTCACAGGTAATGAATTTTCTGGCTGGAGGCCATGAGTCAGAGATGTGAAAACTTCCCCCATTGTGAACCCTTTTGAGATTCTGTTATATATAGGTATATATGTACAGATAGTTATAGTTTTGGCATCAAAATGCCGTGCTTGCATCAAGGCCTCTATGTTGCCATTGGAAGTAATAATGGAGTTTTTGAATGTTACCCAACTTTTATTTAAATCAGTCTGGGAAAAATGCTCACAGATAAAGCCAGGCAAAGTCTCAATGATGTCTGCATATAGGCCAACATTACCAGGAAAATTCAGCTACTGGAGCTTCTTCTCAGCCACAGGGAACACATACAAAGTTCAGGTTTAGTCTGTAACACACAATGGAAATCCTGGGTATTCCCACACTGCTTACTGAGTCAGTTCCAAGTTCACTATGGCATCTGAGGTGATTCTCATGACAGTGTTCAAAATCCATGGATAAATTAGATCAAGGGAGATGTGATATCCATTCATCAGATATGATTCATCCCAGCTGTCATGTGTTGTGAATCAAAGTACCCTAAACTGCCAGTATTTCAGAGACCTACATTTGGGGTATAACCAGATAATTATGGGATTTCAACTCCAGTACCCCCCAAATTTCTGTCATCATAGGTCATAGATTTTGAGCTCAAAGAAGATATCTTGGCACAGCTTTAGTCCAATCCCTTCAGTTTGTAGTTTTCAGATAGGGTAACTGAGGCACCAAGAGGTTAAAGTGACTTGCCCAGAATCACATAACAAGTATCTGAAGTGAGATTTGAACACAAGTCTTCCTGACTCCAAGTTGGGTCTTCTATCCATTGTAGTACACCACTTCTTTCCAATATCCTCTGGGGGGGTTTAGTCAGATATTTTCTGATACTGTACCCCAGGCCACATGTAGAGGAGCTATGACCATTGGAAGGAAAGAGAGATATGAAGGTAGCATCTAAATTAGTTAACTGGTGTAGAAATGTAGCTGACTTCTTTAAGACCTGAAAAGAGAAAATGTTTTAGTCAGACAGGCATCAATTCTGTATCTTTCCTTGCTATACAGAAACAGCATTTTCATTCATTTGGTGGCTCAGTCCTCAAAGAAGGCAATAATCTAATTTTTATCCTGTTTTGTCTAAGATTCTCCCATTTTAAATATTATATCCATCATATCAATCTCAAACTCTTGGAGAGAGGAATGAAGGAAGAAAGGGAACAAGCACCTACTATTTAATTAATTTTTTAAAAATTTAATTTATTTTTAGTTTTCAATATTCACTTCCATAAGATTTTCAGTTTTAAATTTTCTCCCTTTCCCACTTCCTGTTGCCTCCCTCCCCCAATGGCATATAATCCGATATAGGCTCTACATATACATTCACGTTAAGCGTATTTTCCCATTAGTCCTGATGTAAAGAACAATTAGAACTAATGGGAGGAACCATGAGAATGAAGCAATAAAACAAAACAATAAAGGAAAAGGAGAGCAAACAGTATGCTTCCATCTGCATTCAGATTCCATATTTCTTTTTCTGGGTGTGGATAGCAATTTCCATCATGAATCTTTTGTAGTTGTCTTAGATTCTTGCATTGCTGTGAAGAGCCAAATCTATCAAAGTCAGTCATCGAACAATGTGGCTGTTACTTCACACAGTGTTCTCCTGGTTCTGCTCATTTCACTCTGCATCAGTTCATGTAAGTCTTTCCAGGTTTTTTTGAAGTCTGCCTGCTCATCATTTCTTATAGCACACTAGTATTCCATTACATTCATATACCACAACTTGTTCAGCCATTCCCCAGTTGACGGGCATCCCCTCAATTTCCAATTTTTGGCCACCACAAAAAAAGCTGCTATAAATATTTTTGTACATGTGGGTCCTTTTACCCCTGGGAGGGGGAGAAAATTTAAAACTCAAAATCTTATGGAAGTGAATGTTGAAAACTAAAAATACAGAAATTAAATTTAAAAAATTGGTTTAATTTTAAATTAATTAAATTAATTGGTAAAATTTTTTAAAAATTGGTTGTAATCCAAGCTCCTCTTACAGAATATTGTATTCCATGCCCTCCCATCTTTTAATGTAGAAGCTGCGAGAACTTATGTAATCCTGACTGTGGTTCCATGATATTTAAATTGTTTCTTTCTGGCTGCCTGCAGTATTTTCTCTTTGATCTGGTAGTTTTAGAATTTAGCTACTATATTACTGGCTGTTTTCAATTTGGAATCTCTTTCAGGAGGTGATCAGTGGATTCTTTCCATGACTAATTTACCCTCTGGTCCTAGGACCTCAGAGCAGTTTTCTTTGATGATTTCCTGAAGTATATTGTCCAGACTCTTTTTTTCATCATGGTTTTCAGGTAGACCAATAATTTTTAAATTGTCTCTCCTGAATCTATTTTCCAGGTCAGTTGTTTTACCAATGAGATGTTTTATGTTTTCTTGTATTTTTTTATTCTTTTGTTTCTGTTTGACTGATTCTCACTCTCTCATAGAGTCATTAGCTTCTACTTGCCCAATTCTAATTTTTAATGAAATTTTCTTCTATTAGATTTTGTACCTCCTTTTCCATTTGGCCCATGTTACTTTTTAAGGAGTTCTTCTCTTCAGTGAGTTTTTGTGTTTTTCCATTTGAATTTAATTAATTACTTAATTTAATTAAGCACCTACTATGTACTGTTTTAAGTTTTAAACACTTTACAAATATCTCATTAGATCCTCACAACAATTCAGGGAGATAGATACTATTATTATCCCCATTTTACAGTTGAGGAAACTGAGGCAGATAGTGGTTAAATGACTTTCCCAGGTCACACTGCTAGTGTCTGAGTCCACATTTTAACCCAGGTCTTCCTGACTCTAGGCTCAGCACTCACTGCACCACCTAGCTGCCTCAAGGGCCAACAGGTAAAGATGAATGCCATTAATGGAAGACTTTCAGAAAGCCATGACAATTTTTTTAAAGGTTCTGTCAGTCATCTTGTAGCATATGAACTAGAATCAGTGTGGCCTTTATCTAGGACATAGCTGACCTACCATCAATGGAGGGTATGCTCTTGGACATGTTTTTCTGGTAACATCCCAGCTCTCTCACCCAGTATCCCTTGAGGTTAAATAGCAACATTTGCAGGACAGCTGGATGGGATGAGTCCACAGTTTGCAGCCACAGAGAGCCTAAGTCATTGACCCGTATTATGAACCATACCCATGATCCTGATATTATTAGTAGTATTCTTTAACTAACCACACAAACCAGCTACAGAAATATTAGAACTGAAAGCAAACAAACCTGAAACTTGACAAAAGTACAGAAAATTTTAAATGGCCATTACATTTAAAAAGAAAAAGTACAATTATCTCATTGAGTCAAGAGAAAGGGAGAGGGGGCAGGCCTTAATAAATGATCATTGGGCTGAAGGGGCAGGGATTTACAGCTTTACCAATTCTAATCAAGCAATAAGTGATAGTACCAGGGATGAGAGCTTGGGAAAAGGTGGAACAAAATTACTCTGATATTCCTAGTCCAGACCATAGGAGTGACAATTTGCTGTATAGAGGGAGGGGAATGATACACTACTGAGTTACTAGGCAACTGCATCTGTAAGCTTCATCCATAGGGAAAGAAGGAATTTCCTATAAGTGCTAGTAGAAAACTCCAGGAAACTTTAATGATCTGAAGCTCACAACAAGGCCATCAAGCAGAAAGATATTGGACTAAGAACTAAGAGACCCAGATTCTACTCCAAGCCTTGCCACTAAACCTTGGGTGAAGTGAAACCCTGGGTAAGTCACTTAAATTCTCCATACCATTGTTTTCTCATCTATAAAATGAGGGAGTTGGGCTAAATGGTCTCTAAATTCCCTTCCAACTCTGAAATTATATGATTCTTAGTAAAGCTGTGAGTGAAAGATATAGCCACTCATTAAAAAAAATTTTTTAAAGCCATTGGGTTCATTCGTCCAGAGGATAATGGTGATGCCCCAAAGGTGGGGCTGCAATATGGGGATCTTTGGAGGGAGAGAGAAATATTGTAGGGTCAATGCAGCCAGAGCTACTCACTAGGTGGCACAGTGAATAGATTGCTGGGCCTTTGTGGGTTCAAATCTGTCCTCAGACACTTACCAACTGTGTGACCTCAGGCAAGTCACTTAATCTAGTTTGCCTCAATTTCCTCCTCTGTAAAAATTATCTGGAGAAGGAAATGGCAAACTACTCAAGTATCTTTGCCAATAAAACCCCAAATGGGGTCATGAAGAGTTAGTCATAATTAGAACAACTCACTCCACTTACCTGATTGTTTTCTTCTGTAAACAAAAATTCCCAAACCAATCAGAAATAAGGCAATAATAGTCAACCCAAAAACAATTTCCACAAATGGAGAGCTGGTCTTTGACTCTGAAATGAAACAAACAAAAAACAAAAGAAGAAAATCCCCAATCCCTTTCCTTTCCTTACAGACTTATGACCTATCAAAAAAATCAAGACTATTTCTTTAATGTTACTCTGTCATCATCAGCTTCCCTTGTAGGCCAATAAAACTACAAGACATTCTACGGAGCATTGGCCTAAAAACAATATTCCATTTTCCCTCTAGCAACCCAGTAACTTCTCCCTAAAAACCATTCACTATATCCTTACCAACTGGCACATGGAGGACCTTGAGCATGTCATTATGCTCCACCTGGCAGGAATAATGATCTTTACTTTGAGGATCAATGTCTATTGATACCCAGGTCTGATAGGTTCCATCCCCACTGGGAAGAATGTCTCCATATTCAATTTCTTGGGTTATCGGTTCCCCATTTTTTATCCAGGTCATGGTAATCTCTGGGGGATAGAAACTATAGGCTCTGCAGATGAGAGTTGTAATCCCAGTAGATGACTTTTTGTGGCTTCCACTGAGTAATGGGGTTTCTGAGAAGAAAAAAGAAACAATCTGAAAAAGGAGAAGGCTTTCTTCCCTTTGCTGATTCTACAATGTTCTAATATCCCCAAACCATTCTCCACGCTTTTAGACAATTATATCAGGGAACCCATCACCAGCAAGGACTCCAAACCAAGGTAAAATCGCATCAAACCTTCGACTGCAGATACGTAGGGGAAGCCAGCTCATTGACGTGTTTCTGATTTTCAGCTCGCCCCCCCTACAGACCCCTATGAATTTCTCTTTGGGTAAGATTGGGGCCTCTCTCTTAACTGAGCTCCCGTAGCAAGAGAAGGCATGCATTCTGTGTATTTTCAAGTAGTCTCCAATTTCCATTTGCTATCTGTCTCTTTATTTGTCATAGTCTTTCATACAATCAGAGTTTGGCAGAAAGGGACAAAGCAGTGGGTTTGAGTCCCCTCCCCCTTTAAGGGAGGCAAGCAGGAGAAGCAAGTGACTTTTTATTCTGAACCCATCATGCTCCCAGAAAAGCAGGATTTAAGGGACGTAGTAGATATAATTCCAGTCTAGTACCCCATCTCTCAGAGAACAGAACAGCTAGCCTGGTAACCCCTCTGCTTTTCCCTTTAAGTCAGGGTAGGCAAGATTCTAGAGTTATCTACCAATGCCTCCTCCCCCCTATACCTTTAGACATTCCATCTGGCCATACACATCCTATATGGATAGCACATGTCTTTCATATGTACCATCTCTAAATACTTTCCTTGATACCAGGGAACATTCAGATGTCAAATATGCAGAGCTTCATGTTATCAGTTTGGCAGGAATGCTGATGGCTGATTGCCAAGACTAAACGGCAGAGACCTGGTCCCTGGGAGATTGAATGGTTGGCTGCCTACATAGTAAGATTTGGGTCAGCAAGGAAGAGCGCCCTGTCCACAAGAAGTTCTTCTGTATCTGTCTCCTGATGCCTCAAATGTCCTTAACAAGGGACAAGGCTTTTCATTCACAATTAGAGATAAGGCTTAAAATGAGAATCCCTTTAAGAAAGGGAATGGTCATTACACTTGTCACTGAACTCCAGCTGACAGAAACCATGATCTGCACTCTGAAGAGCCATTGCTACTGATTCTCAGGTCTAGCAAATGGCCACTGGTAGATGCTTTTCTTAAAGCAGGTTCAAGTAAAGGGCTGGAGGAAAAACACACTAATCTCCTGCAAGTGGGAGAGAGATGCAAAGGGAAGGTTTAAAGGGAGAAACTAGTGGATTGTGATGATTGCCGTAAGGCACGGTTTGGCAAGATACAAAAGTGATTTGGCATTGCCTTCTCCAATCCATTTTAAAGATGAGGAACTGAGGCAAACAGGGTTAAGTGACTTACCCAGGGTCACACAGTTTGATTGGTTGGATGGTTGTTGTGCTTTGTTTTTGAAGAGGACCAAAATGACATCACTATGTCGGGGTCAAAGTACAGTATGTCCACTTGTGACTGATCAGACCAACATGAGCTTGGAAGGCTCTACCACAGGTTGGGTACAAATAGTCCATCTAAACATTTAGAGTGGAGATATCTCTAAGTTTGCATATCTCAGATTTCTTTTGAGCTACTGCAATTCTGCTTTACACGTAGAGCACAGTGCCTTCTTTGCTGCAGACATGCCATGCTGGATGGTCCTGTGCCAGTGTCTCCCATATCTCATAATTGATTCCAAAGTTCTTCAGAGAGACCTTGAATGTCCTTGTATCACTTCTTCTGATCTCTATGTGAGTGCTTGCCTTGTGTGAGTTCTCCATAAAATAATGTTTTAGGCAAATGTACATTTGGCATTCAAACAACCTGGCCAGCCCATCAGAGTTGTACTCTTTGCAGTAGAGTTGAACTCTCGGCAGTTCGGCTTGAGAAAGGACCTCAGTGTCCAGTACCCTATCTTGTCAGGTGATCTTTAGAATCTTCTAAGACAGTTCAAATAGGAGTGATTCAGTTTCCAGTCATGGCACTGGTATACAGTCTAGGTTTCACAGGCATACAACAATGAAATTAGCACAGTGGTTCTGTAGACCTTCAGTTTGGTAGGTAGCCTAATACCTCTTCTCTCCCACACATTTTTTTTCTCCCACACATTCTTTTGGAGTCTCTCAAATGTTGAGCTAGCTCTGGCAATGTGTGCATCAACCTCATCATCTATGTACATATCTCTGGAAAGAATAATGCCAGAGTAAATGAAATCATCCACAGCATTCAGAATTCCTCCATTTGTTGTAACTGATGGTTCCACATATGGATAGTGTTGTGATGGTTGGTGGAGGGTCTCTGTTTTCTTAGTGTTAATTGTCAGGCAAAAATTAGCATAAGAAACATAGAATTTATCCATACTCTTGCATCTCAGCCTCGGAGGCTACACTGGATGCACAATCATCTGTGAACAAAAAGTCATGTACCAACTCTCCCTCTGCTTTAATCTTGGCTTGTAGCCTTTAGAGTTGAATAATTTGCCATCAGTGCTATAGCTGACCTTGATGCTGTTTTCATCCTTGTTGAAGGTTGAAATGCTTACATCCTCATTGAACATCGTAGAAAACATCATGTTAAAAAGCATGGGAGCAAGCGCACAGCCCTGCTTCACTCCACTGGTGACTGGGAAAGCTTGTGAGCATTGTCCACTATCTAGAACCTGGGCAAGCATGCTGTTATGAAACTGACGTACAATACCGATGAACTTCTTTGGGCAACTGAATTTTGCCATGATCTTCCACGAGCCCTCACAACTGACAATATCAAAGGCCTTCATTAGACTGACAAACATTGGGTACAGACCTCTGTTCTGCTCCTGGCATTTCCCCTGGGGTTGTTGAACAGCAAACACCATATTGACCATTCCTTGGCCCTTTCTGAGACCATACTGGCTCTCAGGTAGATGACCTTCTTCCAGAAGAAGCATCAGCCTATTAAGGAGGACTCTGTCAAGAATCTTGCTGTCAATGACTAAGAGAAGAACTCTCCTGGAATTGAGTCACACAGCTAGTAAGTGTCTGAGACCAGATTTGAAATCATGAAAATGAGTCTTCCTGACTCCAAGCCCAGTGCTCTACCCACTGCACCACCTAGCTTCCCTATTATAATTCTAAGTTACAAGGAGTTACTGATCTGTGTCCCTGAAGGAAGTTTCCACAGGGGAGTTCCCCATACAAATAAAATCACAAGCCCATAGTTTCCTCATCGTCAAAAGTAGAATCTACACATCGTTGGGAAACTTAAGTAAGATTTCCTTGGTGACTAAATGATACTTCAATGATCAGAAAAAATTAACTGCCTTCCAAAGGGTCTCCTTCCACGACTTGGAGATAATGGAAGAATTTGGTTCATTGTTTCTCTAAAGAGAAGGAAACAACCTACCTGAAGGATGACTCAGTCAGGATGAGAGGACTCTGATTCAGAACAGAAGTAAGTATTTATAGGAAGTGACAAATAATAGTGAAAGTCTGAAGGAAGTGAGGGGCGTTAGGAGTGAGTGTGAAGTAAGCTAGAGGAAGTTACAGAGGGGCCCTGGGTTTGAGTTCCAGACCTGCCACTGGCTGGTTATGCTGGGCGAGTCACCCCTCTGGCCCCAAGTTTCCTCATCTGTAAAGAAGAAATTATTATCACTTATACTATCTACCTCATAGGGCCATTATTTCTTTCAAAGCTCTATAAATATGCAAATTTTAAATCCAAGGGAAGGTAAAGGAAAACCAGTCTAATCTTCGTTCTTTACCTGTCCGTTGCAGGGTATCTTTTCCAAAATCCAGGAATTTCTTTAACCAGGCAATGCATTCTGTTTCCAGCCAATTCTTCTGATAACGTAACTCATTCTGGTTGGTCTCCCAGACCTGCTTAGTGAGTCTAGCCACATTATCCACAGCAATCCAGGACAGAGAGTCCTTATTGAAAACGATGAAATCCTTTCCATCATATGCATACTGGAGAAATCCTGTGGCACTACCATCCTCTAATAACTCACAGCCAATCATCCTCTGGTAGATGTGAAATCCTGAAATCCACAAGCGTAGTCAAGACTGGTGGAACATGAGAAAGGTAGTGCATGGCTGTAGTCTGAGGGGCATGGCTCAAGGGCTTCCCTGACCTATTGGAGGACTTATGGGACATACAACTCCCACCAATGAAAATATTAATTTATTCCTTTGGGTTAAGGTATTTTTTGGATGAGTAACCCTTGTTAAACCAAACAACAAAAAGTTATATATCATTAACTAGGATGAAAGCAACTAACATCTATATATATTATTTTAAAATTTGCATAGAAATTATCATCTGAAACCCCCATGACCTTGTGAGAGGCAGACTGGCATACAGATAAAAGTCCAGACATGAAGGCAGGAAGACTTGGGTTTAAGTCCTACCTTGGATGCTTTTGGTAGCTGTGTACCCCAAGGAGCTCTAGAATGATTAGGTACAGAAAAGTTGCAATGGTAGGAGTTTTTACACCAGGCATCCCATGCACCAATGAAATACTGATCAAGACACACAGGGGTAGCTAGGTGGCACAGTGATTAGAGCACTAGCCCCAGAGTCAGGAGGACCTGAGTTCAAATCTAGCCTCAGATACTTACTAGCTGTGTGACCCAGGGCAAGTCACTTAACCCTGATTGCCTCCGAAAACAAACAAACAACAACAAAAATGCCATCCAAGGTTTTGTCCTGCGCATTAATGGTCTTTCCCCTTGGTGATCTCCCTTCCACTATCACCTGCGCACAGATGATTCTCAGTCCTCTATCTTCAGTTCTTATTTCTTTCCTAAACCTCAGACCCATACCTGTCTGCCCATGAGGCTGCTTCACCTGGCTTACCTGTTAGCACCTCAAATGAGCTTATGTTTCTCCCCAAACATGCTTCTCCTTCTGACTTTACTTTTTCTCTCCATGGTCCCTTCATTCACTCAGTCTCCTATTTTTGAAATCTTGACGTTAGGTGGAAGTTTTCCTTTTCCCCACCTTGTATACCTAATCTGTAACTACACATCCCTGTGTGGCCACTGTTGGAGAATGCTCTCCCAGGGCTTAGGCATCATTTTTGCTCTACTCACCTCCAGTATGATTGTAATGATTCTGCAGGGCCCTCAGTTCTACTTTAAATGTCTGCTGCCAGCCCCTCAAAAGCTGAGTATATTTCTCCCAGTGATCAGATCCCAAGTTCTCTTCCATCCAATGGGCCTGGGGCATCTTCTGTCTTCTATCACTGTCATATGAAGTGATAGGATGAGAATCCACATAGCCAACTGAAACAAATTCAGGGATCCCTTGGCTGGAATCGGAGACCCCCAGGCGAAAATATCGCAGAGAGTGAGTCCCTGAAGGAGCAAAAAAGAGAGAGATGTTTTTATTTGTATTTTTCAATTAATCAGGCATTTTTTTTTTCCTTTCTCTCCCACCTTTCCCTCTGCACTGGAAAAAAGAAAAAGAAAAAAATGCTTGTAACAAATATACATAGTCTAAACAAATTCTCATGGCCATGTCAACAATGGGTGTCTTATTCTGCATATTTAGTCTGTCATTTCTCTGTCAGGAAGTGGGTAGCATTTATCATCTGTCCTGTGGAATCATGGTTGATCACTGTGTTGATCTTAAGTTCTTAAATCTTTCAAAGTTGTCTCCCTTTACACCGCTATTATTGTATATTGTTCTCCTGATTCTGCTCAATTCGTTCTGCATCAATTCATACAAGTATTCTTAGATTTCTCTGAAACTTTCTCTTTCATCATTTCTTATAACACAATAGTAATTCATTACATCTATGTACCATAATTTGTTTAGATATTCCCCAATTGATGGGTACCCCCTTAGTTTCCAGGTCTTTGCCACCACCAAAAAGAGCTAACAAATGTTTTTGTACATATAAGACCTTGACCTTTTCCTCTTTCTTTTATTTCTTTGGGATATAGATCTAGTAATGTTATTACTCCATCAAAGGTTGGGCATAATTTAGTACCTTTTTGTCATAGTTCCAAATTGCTTTTAATCAATTAATCATAGTCAAACATTTATTTTTTTCTTTTTTCTTTTTTTTTCCTTTAGGCAATTGGGGTTAAGTGACTTGCCCAAGGTCACCCAGTTAGTAAGTGTCAAGTGTTTGGTCTGAGGTCATATTTGAACTCAGGTCCTCCTGACTTCAGGGCTCTATCCACTGCGCCACCTCGCTGCCCCAGTCAAACATTTATTAGGCATGCATTATGTGCCTGGTACTATGCTAAGTGCTGGGGATATCAAACGAGGTAAAAGCCAGTGTCTGCCCTCAAGGACCTTACAATCTGGACCAATTTCACGGTTCTACCAATAGTGGATCAATATGCCCTTTTCACCTAAACCTCTTCAACATTTGTCATTTTCATTTTTTGTCAACTTTGCCAATCTGATTGGGAGATGCTTATTAAAAACAAAATATACTTAGAGTTGTAGATGATCTATTATCCATAAAATAGATTTTAATGTGATATCATCTAAAATTCCCTTACTTTTCCATCTATATTCATAAACCATAAAACTGAGGGATGAGAGACAATAATTTCAGGCACTGTTAGATTATTGTTAGATTGGAACCATGATTTCACTGGTTAAGGGAACATCCAGTGTGAAATCTATTGACACAAATGCCCAGCTCATCTGTAATGTATAGTCTTTGTAGCCTGAGACACAGAGAAATTAAATAACTTGCCCATGGTGACACAATGGATGTGTCAAAGGTGAGGCTTGAACCCAGGTCTTCCAGACAAAGACCAGAAGCTCTTATTCACCATGTTATACTGCCTCTTGGACTACAGATTGAGGCTAGAAAAAATTAAACAAACAAACAAAAACAAAAACAAACAAAAAAAACCAGAGCCAACTTTTGTCAGTAGCTTGTGGCATAATGCTGAAGACAGGAAGCCAAATCTCAGTCTGTGTCTCTGGCCCCCAGAATCCTCACCAGCTTCTGGCTGGTCTCAGAAGATCAAGAACCAACTCACTTCCTAAAAACAGAAGCAGGAAGAAGGAAGCAGGCATCTGCTAGCTATGAAGAAAGTTTTTTGGGATTTAGCTCAATGCAGCACCTAGCATAGGTTTTGAACCAAGATAAGCTTTTCTGTTCCCTTTTGTCCTCCAATTGATGGGGTACAGGCTCAAGCTGAGACCTTTGCCCTTCACCCCAAAAAGAATTTGGGTCCCATTGGTCTAGGGGACTTTCTTTGAACTCTCCTAGTTGATGGTGGAAGTCTACATTGCTTGCTTGAATCTATAATCCTATCAACTGGCCTTTACTTATCGTCTACACCCAATCTCCCAGCTCTTTGTTACTCTTAATTTAGTCCATCTCCCCATAGTCTGTGACCTCCTGGTCGCCTCTGGCCACTTCCCACTCTTAATCCTATGTAGACTCTGTTCTCCCTTGGCTAGGTCCAGGTCCCTGGCTTTCTGTTCACCCCAGTTTACTGGCCACTTCCGTCTAGATCCTCCTTAGACCCCTCCCTCAGTCACCCCAAACTACTTGGCCACTCCTAGATCCCTCCCACAGTCCTTTTGTATATAAGGTCCATTTTGTCTCCAGATTCCTTAAGAACCTAGCAAAGGGCTCAGATTCTTACAATCTAGCCAATAGCTCACAAATGTTCAGATTCCTTAAGAGTCTGGCCAATATGGTGGATCTTTAATAAACCTTGTCTTTGACTGGAAGAAGGTTTGGGTCGAATTCGTTTGGGCAGGACCCACGTGTCATGATTGTGGGGGTCCAGCACCCCTGAGACCCTAGACCTCAATATAATCACCTTTCACCTATCCCTCTTTCTTACCTTCTTCACTTCTCTATTCCTCTATGACTCCTATATTGTCAGATCCTCTTGCCATTTAAGACCTTTTCTCTTCTCCTATTCTTTCCCTCATGTCTTTCCCTTGTTTCCCCATATACCACAGTTATCCTAGTTCAGGTCTGCTTCACCTCTCACCTAAAGTATTTAAATAAATTGGTCTTTCAGCCTCCAGTACCTCCCTTTTAATCCATACTTCATCAAATGCCAGTGGAAATGTTGCAGTCTGAGAGGTTCAGAGACCCCTCAAAGACCAGGGTACAGGATGAGGTCATCTGGAATGCATTCACGGGCTCAAGCATGCTTTAAGTCAAGTTGGCAAAGATTTATTGTTACACTTTTCAGCGGGCAAAGGTTCTTAAGGAACCTGCAACCTTAAAGGGGTTCAGTTAAAGTTTATATAGGATAATCTGTAGTAAAACACGTGCCAAATATGCTAACAGGGTGATGCGGGGTGGGATTAGGGAGTGGTTTAGGAGTAGTTCGTTCTTAAAGGAACATGTGCTTTTGGCATCTCCTGCAAAGGTGTTTTACCCAGGGTTTACCAGGAAAAGCGCAGGGTGGGGGGGGGGGGGGGTTTTACAGGCAGGTGTGATTTTCAAGTCTGCTACATCACTAAATTAACTAACCGTCAGGGCCAACTGAGGGTTGTCCAGTCTGCCACCAATCAGTGTTTTGTTTCACAATAGATGTAGGGAGTAATCATATGTCTTAAGTCTAAAATATACATAATGAGGAGTCCAGGATGCAGATAATGAGGTAGAGAGTTGGTATAGATAGTCCAGTGGGTATGAATATCTTTATGACCCAGTACAAAGACAGTTTAAACTAATAATTCCTTCAGGTACAATTTGTAACTGCACCAGGGAGAGAGATAAGTGTGTTGCTGAGGCCCACTCATGAATAATTGCTAGACATAGTGTCCTTGGGCTGGGGAGAAACTGCCAGGGACAGTGTTTCTGAGGCTTGGGAGAAATATGGTCTTGGATTTGGGGTCCCAGTACAAGCACCCAAGCACCCCATCAATATCACTAAAATGTAGGTTCCCCAGGTCCGGAATATATTCCTTCCTCACCCCTGCTTCTTAGAATCTTTAGTTTCCTTCAAAGTTCATTTCAAATAACACTTCCCACAGGAAGCCTTTCCTGATCTTCCCTTCCCTGCTACTGCCTCCTCCTCTGACCCTATTATCTTATATTGATTCTATATATACATATGTGCACATATTGTCCCTCTCCCATAGAAGGTAAGCTTCAGATGGGCAAGGACTGGTTCATTTTTGGCTTTTTGTGAGGTGGTGAGAGGTGCTGGCACAACAGGAGAAATTGGTCAATCAGTAAGCATTTATTAAAAGCCTGCTATGTGCCAGGCACTGTGCCAAGTGCTAGGGCTATAAAGAGAGGCAAAAGATAGTCCTTGCCCTCAAGGAGCTCGGCTCACAAACTACTACAGGAGACAACAAGCAAACAAATATTTACAAATAAGCTATATACAGGATAAATAAAAAATAATTGAGAGAAAAGATGCTAGAATTAAGAAGGGTTAGGAAAGGCTTCCAATAGAAGCCTACAGACTGGCCCCCAACCCAGCACCCTGGCACATAGTAGGTCCTTAAATGTTTGTTGATTGAATAATTTGGTAAAATTTTAAAAATGACAAGTAGCCGTGTGCGTGTGTGTTTAAAGAAACAGCTTTACTTATGTTTGCAAACCCTGTTGTTTTACACTTATGCGAATGTGTGATCTCACTGCCTTGGACATTCCTTCTAAGAACACAAACTGAAATCCATCCGTGTCTGCTCATGCCGGGCACCTCTTATTCACATTCTCTCACAAGGCCACACAGAACTTCACTTTCCTGGCTTCCTCCTGATAGACCGAGGATACCACTGGTACGCTCAGACTGTCAGTCGGCCATCTCTTATCCTAGATGCCAGGACTGGCTCATCTTGTTTTTCCCTCACTTGTTTCTTCAATGGCATCTTTGGGTCCATTTCTCCTCTGACATCCCTCTCTTGTAAGCCTGCTTGTAGCCACTGTGAGCCTCCCCACTGCCCTCCAATACTCATTGCCAGTTCTCCTGAGACTATTGTGCTCCGGGTCTCACGGCCATACAACAATCCGTGACAACCCTTATGTGACATTTAAATACGCATGAAAAGTTAAATTCTGCTACAAATGGCTTGCTCCCTCTCCAGTAAGGCAGGCTAGCTAGAACAGGTCGATGCCATGTTTGCCAAGAGTCTGTAGATGCCCGACCAAGGGACTAATTGTGTGTAAATTTCTAAGTGGCTGATAGCCCAGGGGAGGCTTCCAGAAAATTAATAAGGCCTCTGTGAAATTTCCTTCTGATTGGAAAAGGACCATCTTGGGGGTTTTCTTGAAGGCAAGTATATTACGCAACTCTGCAGTGTTTTGTTGTTGTTATTGTTTTATCCCGAACCTTGAGAGGAAGGGGGAGAATAAGAGATCTAGAAGAAAAAGCAAGGCCTTTGCCCTGAGAAGATGTAAGCA